GGGGGAGCAGCTCCCTCTCCTGGGCCGGGGGCGCGTGGAGGGGCCTGGTCTGTTGGAGTGAGGGAGAGTGAGGAGCCTAGAACCCCCCCAAAGGGTCCTGCGCCGAGGGGTTTGGGGCGGCAGCACAGCAGTTCCGTCGAGCGCCTGTGGCTCGCTGGGGAGGCTACCTCCTGTCCTGGGAGCCTCAGCAGCACCATCTGCCCCGGGCGAGGAGGGGCCCAGGCGGCCCCTGCGCCCCCAGAAGTGCCTGAGGGACCAGGGTCCTGACGCCCGTTCTGCCTCCAGTGCAGGGCTCGCGGCCTGGAAAGAATGTACAGCTGACAGAGAACGAGATCCGTGGTCTGTGCCTCAAATCCCGGGAGATCTTCCTGAGCCAGCCCATTCTTCTGGAGCTGGAGGCACCCCTCAAGATCTGCGGTGAGACCCCTGCCTAGGCCCCTTTGTTTTCCGAAGGTGGCACTGGCCCCCCAAATCTCTGGAACCTTATCTTCAGCCCAGTCCTGGGCCTGGGTTCAAGTTTAGACCCTGCACCTAGTGCTGACCTGGTTCCCTGGGTCACAGGTGACATCCATGGGCAGTACTATGACCTTCTGCGGCTGTTCGAATACGGGGGCTTCCCTCCAGAGAGCAACTACCTCTTCCTGGGGGACTATGTAGACCGGGGCAAGCAGTCGCTGGAGACCATCTGCCTGCTGCTGGCCTATAAGATCAAGTACCCCGAGAACTTCTTCCTGCTCCGTGGGAACCACGAGTGTGCCAGCATCAACCGCATCTATGGCTTCTATGATGAATGTGAGTGGTTTCGAGCCTGGGGCTGCCCAAGGCCTGAAGAGCTGTCCCCGATATTCGGTTGGCTTGGTGGTAGGGGTAACCATGTTACAAATACCTGCTAGACTGTAAGCGTTGTGAAGGCCAAGAGCTGTCCACATTTTAGTGCAGGGCTGTCTGGTGACACTCCTAGTACGTGTTACTTAAGCACTTAGGGCGCCTCTCAGGACCAGACTTTGCTGGCCAGAAGCTGAGATAAGCCAGACCCAGTCTTGGTCTGGTCCTGCTCATAGGGTGGGAGTGGGTGCCAGCCCTAACCTTGTTCCGGATTGGAACTCTGGGGTTCTGTGGGCTCAACTGCTGAATTCCTCCTGTAAGGCTGGTAGGCAGTGGGGTGGGGTTGGTTCCCTTCTTATCTATGATGCTCTTCTCCCAGCTGTGTCTGGGAGGCCCGGGAGGCCTTCTCATGAGCGTCTCCTTCCTCTGGGCAGGCAAGAGACGCTACAACATTAAACTGTGGAAAACCTTCACCGACTGCTTCAACTGCCTGCCCATCGCTGCCATCGTGGACGAGAAGATCTTCTGTTGCCATGGAGGTGAGGGCGGCTCTGGGGCACCTGCTGAGGGAATTCATGGGAAAAGGATCTTTGGGAAGCTGTGAGCTAGAGAACTGTTCCCAGTTGCCTAAAACAGCTCTCCCTGGGGTCTGCGCTTGAATGTCACTTATTGCAGGATGTTCCCCCGCTCCTCCGCTGTTATGCCGCACTCTCCGCTGTTGCGGCCTCAGTGTGGTGCATAGAATTTGCCCCTTTCTCTAGAATTTGCCCCTTGCTCCTAGAGGGCAGGAATTTGAAGAGGCAGAAGGCGAGTTCTGCCTGCCTAGGCTCCCAGAAGTCCAGGAGAGGGCCAGGGGGTAGCAGGAGTGGGGGGCAGAAGCTGATTGGCCAGGGTTTCTTAAGGAACTGGAGGTCCTTCTTTTGAGGTTTAAGGAAGTAATGTGCCACCTGTGTCCCCCAGGGCTGTCCCCAGACCTGCAGTCCATGGAGCAGATTCGGCGTATCATGCGGCCCACAGATGTGCCTGACCAGGGGCTGTTATGTGACCTGCTGTGGTCTGACCCTGACAAGGACGTGCAGGGCTGGGGCGAGAACGACCGTGGTGTCTCCTTTACTTTCGGGGCTGAGGTGGTGGCCAAGTTCCTGCACAAGCATGACTTGGACCTCATCTGCCGGGCACACCAGGTGGGCTGGCAGCTCTGGTCCAGGTGGGGGTGGGGCCTGGGGAGCCAGCACCTGCTTAACTAACTGCCCATCTTGTCTAGGTTGTAGAAGACGGCTATGAGTTCTTTGCCAAGCGGCAGCTGGTGACACTCTTCTCAGCTCCCAACTATTGTGGCGAGTTTGACAATGCAGGTGCCATGATGAGTGTGGATGAGACGCTCATGTGCTCCTTCCAGGTGAGATGGGGAAGGAAGGGGCTGGTGGTCCCGTGGCTCAGCCCCATGAGCCTGACCAGTGTTGTCTCTTTTAGATCCTCAAGCCCGCCGACAAGAACAAGGGGAAATATGGGCAGTTCAGTGGCCTGAACCCTGGCGGCCGGCCCATCACCCCACCCCGTAACTCCGCCAAAGCCAAGAAATAGCCTCCACATGCCCGCCCTCTGCCCCAGATGGTGGATTGTACAGAAACCATGCAGCTGTAGGGGGTCACACTGGCCTCCTAGGCCTGCTGTTCCCAGGGAACATGGAGCCTTGGTGTATTTTTCTTTTCTTTTTTAATGAATCAATAGCAGCGTTCAAGCCCCCAGGGCTCTTTCTGCCTGTGCCTTGGTGGCTACAAGCAGAATCCTGGGGCTGAGGCTGCAGCTCAGGGCAAAGCAGGGCCAGATTGTGGGTCTCCAGCCTTGCTTGGCCTCAGGGCTGGCAGCCAGATCCTGGGCAACCCATCTGGTCTCTTGAATAAAGGTCAAAGCTGGATTCTTGCCCTGGCTTGTCTCCCTTGTCCCAAACACTGGGCCTGGCATCCTTCTGCCCAGAGCCACTTGGGAGGGCAGGCTTGCTGGGCATGGGGCCCCAGGCAGGGCAACCCCAGCCACATGTTAACATCCACGGGGCTCCTAGAATTCCAAGCCAGGGCCAAAGAATATTGAGAAAGCAAGAAGAGTCAGTCAGCTACAGGAGATCCCAGAGGTGTGCCCAGGACTTGGGGGAGGGACAAGTCATGATTGGCAGAAAAGGTGGATCACCAGGGGCCAGCAGCCCCACTTTGATTTTTTTCTTAAGGAAGGTAGGTGCCCAGCCTTGGCCAGAGGTGAGGGGCCTCCCATCAGTGCCAAGCCTGGAAACATGATTGGTTGGGGGACTTGACAGGACCCAGGCCAGTTACCAATAGCTGGCTGGGGCATGGGGATGCAGCAGGACCAGCCAGCTCAGCTCCAGCGCAGCCCACCTTTACTACCCGCTAGGGTGGAAATCCAGCCCTGCCCCTGCCTGGTGCTGAGAAGTGGGAGGCTGTGGCTTCATATAGTCCAGGGCCTCAGGACACAGAAGAGGTTCTCAGTTCAGCTTTCACCCTCACTGTCTTCAGCCAGCACAGGGCTGGGGCCCAGGGGGGAGTGTGCAGGGGCCAGGACGGAGCCAAAGAACAGCGAGCGGAACTGGAAGAATAGGAAGCTGCATTGTAGAGGCTGCTCCCTCCTGGCATCCCATCCCGTCTCCACCTCCAGCCCCTACCTTCTTGGGAGGAGGGGTCCCAGGCACTGTACTGAGCTCAGCTTCAGCTTCCTCCTCAGAGTTGCAGGGGAGCTGGAGGCCAGGTGAGAGGGAAATGGAGGGGAGTGTTCGTGAGCTCTCACAGCCCACAGTGGTTTCCATGGCAATCATGTAAGAGTCAATGTCGTCATTCGTAAAGTCATCCAGCTGGGGGGTGCTGCAGGTAAAGATGTCAGTGAGAAACGGAAAGCAGACAGAAGGCAGTGTCCACCTTGGAGGGCTGGGGTGTTGCTGTGGGGCTTGTGACCACTGGTGATCTCTTGGTTTTATTACATCCTGATTTGGTGGGAGGAGAGAGGATACAAGGGTTAAGTGGTGGCTTCCTGGAGGGGCTGGGTCTGGAATCTTGATCAGAGTTCAGGTAGGGGCCTTAGGGAGGCACCCTGGGGGCCAGTTTAGCTCAGCTGGGGGAGGGGAGCAGCGAGACTGGCGAGCTCGACCACTTGGGGCCCAATACTTCACCTTCCCAGGGGACAGGAGCTGGAGAGCACTAGGGCCCAGGGACCTGCTGGGCGGGGGGCCAGACCAAACTTCCTCTGCTTAAACTATACTGAGCCCTTCCTCCCCAACCCACCTGCCCTTCCAGCCACCTGCTTCCCACCCCAGGCAGCCCCTTGCCTCCAGCAACCCCCTTTCCCTCCTGGTCTGGGAGGAGGCTTAGTGGGGAGGCCTCAGCCAGAAGAGGAAGCTAGCCTGACCTTGGGGACACCTCCCTAGGTGGGAGGGATCTCTGAGCACAGCTGACCAGGAAGGCTGAGCCTGTGGGGCTGGAAGTTGTGAACACTGTAGGGCTGGGGCCTTACAGGAAGTGTCTGTGTGTGTGGAGAGGGGAGGTATTAGAGCTGGAAGCAGCAGGCTCAGTCCAGGGTGCACAGAGGTGAGGAAAGGAGTGGGCCCGTGGGAACCCTCACCTGTGAGCCTGGAGCTGAGGTGCTGGCCGGTGGAGCTCTGGGGAGCGTAGGTCCTGGGAGTTTGGAGATGACTCCGAGAGTGTGGCCAAGACAAAGTGGCTATCCAGCAGACAGTCCTTGATGGTAAAGATGGCTGGCCTGGGCAGGTGATGGGTCCCAGACAAGGTAAGGGCCCTTTGGCTCCTGGTACCTCAGAGCCCACCCTCCCCGTCTGAGGCTGGGAATTACCTGCCAGGAGCATCAAAGTGAATGCTAAGAGACAAGTTTGCTGACTCTGCGAAGCTCAGGAGCCCCTGGGAAGGGAGAGGCAGAGCAGTGAGGCTGGGCCTTGGGTGGGGTAGGGGGGATGGGATGGTGAGGATATGCGGGGGACCTCACCCGGAATTCTTTGAGACAGAAAGTGATGGCCACCCCTTCTTGGGCCTGCAGCTGCTGGAAATCCTCCTCCCCAATGCTCATCTCAGTCACCATGGCTTTGACAGTGCTGTCTGTAGGGGCAGGAACAGGAGGAACCTGGGCCCATGGGTCCTAGCCCCTCCCAGCCCAGCTCTGCTCCCCACCCCAGGCCATGTCCAGCTCCCTCACCTGCCTCCTCCTCCTGGTAGCTGCGCAGGATGACCCTGCGGCCACGGCCAATGCCCAGCGTCACTTCGGCCAGCGCAGGGGGGAAGGGCAGAACAGCCTCCCCCAGAACCCTGTGAGGAGGGCAGAGCATTACACCCAAGGCTTGGCCCTGCCCAGTAGCTTTGCTGTCACAGGGCCCAAGGCAGGGCAGTGACACAGGCACCAGTATCGAAGGGAAATTGCCATGGGCCGGGCCTAGCACGCCCCAGGAAGAAGGACGGTGAGCAAGACATGGTCCCTGCCCCATCAAAAGCTCCCAGGCTGTCGTGGTAGTGAAGTCACTGCAAGGGACGGGACAGACAAGTAGAGCCCAGAGAAGGCTGCAGGAAGGATGGGCTGGGCAGCAGGCAACACCTGCCCTTAAGGGGGGCGGGGGGGGGCACGCCCATTGCATCTTTCTAACCTGGACCTTCAGAAAGAGCCTTCACATCCTTGACTTCTAGGGACACAGTAATAAGCAGTTACAAATGAAATGACACTTAGAATCAGCCTCAAGACAACTGGGACAGGAGCTGACATCTGCTTTTATATGTATTTAAAACTGTCCATAAAAAAAAGATTACTCATTTAAAAAGAGAGAAATAGCCTCAAAATCCGGACCACCAGTGACAGCCTTCCTTCCTCCTCTACCCAAAGGAGACCTGAGCAATGCTATCGACAGGACTCAGAAAACCAGAGTCAGGACCCAAGGGAACCTTCAAGTTACCTTGACCTACAGCTTCCAAAAGAAATGAACAACTCACTCCTCTGCACTGGTATTCACCAGGGACCTGGGCCTCCACTGGAGCCCCGATCTCCCAGCCCCTGGGTGCTTGGATTCCCCAGAGCTGCTTGTGCAGGCAGCCCTCCTAGACCACAACCTCCCCATCCAGCCTCCTGCCTTGGCCTGAGGACTCAAGGCTACAGCCAGGGCAGGTAGGAAGAGAGGCTGCCTTTGAATGGGGAACACCCCCAGAAGGGTAATCACGACAAAGGAGTGTTTTAGGCCCTGAGCCACAAAGCTGAAAGACAGACCTTCAAGGCTGCTCAGGCCAGAGACCTGCTCTCTAAAAGTCAAAATGGCAAGAAAGACAAGCTGGACCCTTAGGGTGAGAAAACAGGCTCCTGAAGACAGGAGCACACAGCAGGAGAGCCCCTGCCCCTTCTCCACTCAGCCTCTTCCCTTAAAGAGCCAGACAAGAACCTGAGAGCAAGTTGAGCAGGGTGAGCACTGAGGTTCACAGAAACCCCGGAAGGAATATGGTAGAGGTGCCTTCTTAAATTGACCCTTGAGGCCCCAAAGAAGAAAGAAGGAGACCTAGGGCTCAGCTTTCGAGAAGGGAGTGTACTTACTTTGCTGGGGCCTGGAGCACATGGGGGCACGAGGCTGGATCGAAGACAGCCTGCAGGGACTCACAGTCCTGGAAGGACAGGTTGTGAGTCTTCCTCACCCCTGGACAGGCAGACAGGATCTCAGAGGGCCTCCCCAACCGCCACCCCCACACCCTGGGACCCCCTGGCTGGCCGGCTGCCCACTCACCGTATTTACAGTGCAGCTGGACCACCAGGCGGCTGCTCCTGCCATTCATGGAGATGCAGCATTTCTCCACTGTCTTCTCCAGCATCACCAGTGAGCGGAAGACTGACAGGAACGACTAAGTAGGGGAAACACATCAGGCCAGCACTGCACCTCCAATGACTAGTTCTCATGGCCCCCGTAGGTCCTGGCTCAGCACTGTCATACAGAAAGGGAGCTCCCACAACATATTGGACATTTACACACTCCTAGGCCTGTCAGGAATGCCTAGAAAGACTGGCTTGAATGTCACTGCGCTCTCCAGGTCCCTGGTGGGATCGGTCACCCTCTCCACATCCGCTATTCCCCTCTGTGGATGTCTTCACTGTGCCCCTCCCTGCACTGTGCACTGGATCGCCACTGCACATGCTCCTCTCTCTAGTTAGCATCTACTGAGTGCCCCAGAGCAGCTGCACTGCTGCTGGGGGCTCCTGGAGGGGTGCAGTGTCGCTACTGAGGGAAGGACCTCACCTTCATCAGGATCTTACAGCGCAGTGGGTCCTGACCAGGGGTGGCCGCCTGGTACAGCTGGAAGAAGAGGGGGGCAAAGAGGAAGCAGGCATAGGCAGAGCGGGAGGAGTTCACGGTCCGGAGAGACAGCTGGGCCAGGAAAAGCAGAGAGGGATGCAGTCAGGGGCAGCGACGGGCCAGCCCTCCCGCCTACTCTTGCTTACACACTTGCCCTAAAGTTGTGCACCTGTTGAACTCTCTCCCCTTCCAGTCATCGAATACCTTCTCCATGAAGCCTTCCCTGAGTTGGCCCCAGCACGGCTCCCCCCGCCAAGGTCCTTACACGGCCATTGGCACCCTGTACCTTTCCCCCTAGTCGTCCCCACCCGCCACCCGGCACTTCGGGGAGGGCAATTGCTCCCAATTCACACACAGGCCTGGGAAGATGACAGGGCCCAGACTGATGCCCCAGCACCGGGGATTGGAAAATGAAACTCAGCTGACAAATCTGTCCACGGGCATCCTGGTGGAGGCGAGACTCAGGCCCAGGCCAGGGCTCCCTGTTGTAACCCCACCCAGTCCCATGCCCCGGCCCCTCACCCCGTCTTCCAGGGGCTCCAGGTAGAGCTCGTCCCCGATGCGCGATAGAGAGTGAACGGCCTTGCCGAGCACTGCGCGGGGAGAAGAGAATCGCGTTAGGCTGCGGCCCCCGGCCGTCCA